TGAATGAATGACATGAAGTCAACAAATTGAATATGTTAAATATTGTATACTTGATGTATACTTAATGTTACAAGAAAACTCGTGAGGCTACAGGGCCGGCCCTAGACCCTTTGGGGGCCCTTAAGCGAGCTTTGGCTTGGGGGCCCCCCTCACTCTAGCGCGTCTCACTACACACAACACGGAACCAACTTTTGTCTTATGATGTTAGCGTAAGCCACACATATTGTATAAATAACCATGTAAACACCGTGGACCTATAGGGGGGTCTGGGGGCATGCTCCCCCGGGAAGATTTTTTTTTAAATATTTAAGTTAAAAGCATCAATCTGGTGCACTTTGAGAGCAAAATTAAGAGATCTATGGATACATCTCTCAATACCCATATGAAACAGAACTGTGAACAGATTTTTCTTATGGATATTTTACAAATCACTTAAACTGTATTCTTGTTTGTCATATAGTATTTCATAACTGTTTTTCATTTATTCTCTCTGGCTGTCCATCTCATAATGTTCACATAGAAACTAGCTGTCAATAGGAATATCATTCAGGAGAATTATAATTTCATGTAAAAATCTGTCACAAAAAGAGGTTGCACATTTAAATGCAGGTGTTGTTATGGCAACGTCAGTGGCCAAACAGCCACATTTACTGCTGCAAATACGTTCAAACATGCTGTTGACACGTAAAGCAGTGGCAACTATGCCAACCATTTCAGCTGACTTTTTCTCAGAAATACTGTCACATAACATCCATATATTTCAGTGCTAGGTTGATGCTTAGCTAGACTAACTATGAAACACTTCAACTGACAGGACTCCGGATCAACTGTGTACTGTAAGGTAGCTTCTAGCTTCATGTCGAACAGTAAGTCAACATTTCCCAGAGAGCTTTCTTTGAAATCACCAGGTAATGCCAAAAAACATTACATTTAGATTGTATGACAAAGTGTTTATTTAATATATCTGGCTAGCTATAGCTACTTGCTAATGGTTTAGCTTACCCCCGCGATTCAAAGTAACTTCAACGGAGCTGCTTTGCTTACATGTTTGCATAACTTGGAAGTTTACTGACATTTACATACCTTATTTACCTGGCTCAACTGGTGGCTCTGGGGTTGTTGTGTGAGCCACCACTTGAGAATTGTCGTCTTTTTTAAGAAATGTTTTTCTTATGTCCATCTTCAAAAACTCTGAGTCCGACTGACAGTTTATTTTAAGCATTGTCACAGCTCACAGAATAGGTACCTGTCAGCCAATAAGACAGATGTTTATTTCCATTCAACTCTCTGATTGGTCTGGTGTCTTGCCTCTGGTGCATTCACTGAACACGGGAAATTACAATCCTGCCGTTCTCTCTAGTGTCATGATGAGGTTCAGGTAAAGCACGGTTAATGTATTATATTATTGACTCAATAATATAATACATGACTTTGAGAGTAGGCAATCTAGGCATATTAACACAATTAATTAAACATATTTATCACGGCGACGGTGTACTGAGATTTTTTTTGTTTTTGCTTTGTTTTGCCCTTAGTGGCTGCGGGGCCCTAAGCGGCCGCTTATGTCGCTTAATGGGTCGGGCCGGCTCTGAGAGCGATCATGAACCACAGTAAACACTCAAAAGTGTGACTTCACTTTGTTAAATGATAGGACAGGTCAGCACAGCGCAAAACTCATTTTGTGCAAAGGAGGGACCACGACAAACATGACCAAACACCTTCGCCTGCACGCTATAGAAATCAACGAGTGTACCGTGATTAAAGTATTGCTCCAGTCTCCCTCCACCTCACAAGCTTTACCTCCTTTGTCGTCCTCGCAGCTCAGCCGGCTCAAATTTGCACAAGACATAATTTCGCTTACGGCCCCAATTTGCCCGGGGGTCATTACTGCTGACTTGTGATGAATGGACTAGGATAGTACAGGAACACTTCCTCAATGTCACACCTCACTATATATGGGAGGGCAAAAGGAGGCAAAAAGTGCTCCAACCAGTGCTGTCTACAAAGCCCAGACAGGTTTTTGGACAAAGAAGCGGTAGACACAGTTGACAATGCATCCAAAATGGATGTAGCCATAAACAGGCTGCAATTTGTGAAGTCGACTCAGTGTACAGCAAAGATCTGTGCCATCATTTTGTGGATTAAGAGATCGTCAACTGCTAAGGCCATGCTCCATGAAAAGCAGGATATCCTAAGTAAGAATCATTGCGTTACATTCATTTGACTCTTGTGAATGGTATTAAATAATGCATATGTTTCTAATACATTGTACTGTAAGCATTTTCAGGTATTAACATTTGTATTTTAAAATATACATTTCAAGTGAATATAACTACACCATGTTAAATCGAGATCCCAATTGTTGAAGTATTTTACAGTAACAGAAAAAAAGACACTAATCAGTTAATCCAAAAGTACCAGAAAGTAATCAGGAGACATTACTTATTCATTTTGGGGGAATAAGATTACACGACTGCTGATTACTTATTTTTAACTCAACACCTGCTCATTCTTGACGTGAGAACTCGCTGAAATTCTCTCCACCTAATGCTCGAGAGATTTCTTGAGTAATACATACACTGTAAAACATTACTTTCCTGTTTAATTATTTCAAGTTACATTGTCTCTTTTATTCAATGAACTCTGACACATTGTGGATTTTGAACTCAGCTTTTCTAGTTTTAGCAGGTTAAACTTACATGTATTCGTTGTCTTGACAACTTGAACATTTTGTCACATTGACTCAACTTGCCTTAGCAAGTTATCAGAAGAAAAAGGCGGAGTTGCAGGTTTGAGGCCAACAGTAAAAGAAATATGCTTCCGCATTTGAGTTTTAAAAAAAAACCCTCTTTAAACTGAATTTAAGGTTGAAGCATGGATATAATCAACTTGTTATATCCTGAAGATATGTCATCTTTTAATTCGGACTAAAGTAAAGACACATTTTGATCTAAATTAGAGGACTAATGCTGTTGGTGGAGGAACTCTGTGCACCTGCAGCAGTGATCCAATTGAGGCGGAGTAATACTTTAACCTACAGTCTGAAACAGGAGGACCGTTACAGAGGGAATTTTATTTCTGCTGAAAGACAGCAATGGAGATCAGTTTTAATGATTAAAACCTTTAATTATTTACCATTTACCTTGAGTTTCAATCCTAAACATAATAGAGTTAATTGTGGATGTTGTGCTTACTAATACTTTATGTTTTGATAAAAAGCTAACAATAGGAACGTTTAAGCACATGGTTCTGTTTAAAACTGTTAATATTTATTTTTCACTAATGAACTACTAAAGTTATTCACTTCAATTTATATTTGCTTTGACATTTAAGTAGTTGTTTGCTAGCTTAAATGCTATTAGCAATGTTCACTATTAGCTAGCTACACAGTCAGGGCATAAGGGAGGATACTGTGGCGGGAGATTTAATTTTTGGCTTTGCGTGCACTTTGCGTTTAATATTGAATAAATACAATTTCTTATGAACATTATGCCCTTAATGACGTGTATTCATTCGAAACATGCTGCAGACTCTGGAGGCAATTTTTCATTTGTGAGGGAGATTTCCCTCTTCTCCTTTGCTCCGCTCTGTGGGCTCAGTGTGGGGAGGCAGAGCAATTGTTTACTTCTACACCAGATTTTTTTTACTTCAGCGTTAAAGCTTGACTATTATGCTATATTTTAACAATATATTATATGGCCAGTTATTGTTCAGTGAGAACAAACATAGCAATTCAAAGGAAATATCCACAGAATCTTAATTTCTTACATGGAAGACCCAGTCTGAACCCATGTTTGCTTTGGTGTCCTGTTTTTTATCAATTGTTTCATTTTATTTTAGCTGTTTACGTGTCCCTGTACTAACCCTATCCCTAATAGACCAGAAAAAAACCTATCCTGTAAGCTTGGAGGACACTTTGGTAAGTGAGGGTGTATTTTTGTATTTATTATTGGATCATTGAGGAGTTCTTAGAGGCCACTGAAGCTCTATAGTTATCAGAAACCTACTGTGATTTTAGCACAAATTCTGGTGACTGTCTGCTAACTGTATGTGGGTGTGTGTTGTGTGTTTGTGTCTTGAAAGGGGTACTGGGGACAGCTGAGTATACATTGACTGAAATGACCTGCACAACCCCCCTGTTTTTCTGCCACGTCATCCCCCTCCTCTAACCATACAATACCGCATTGTCCACAGGCCACTCCGAAGCCCAGTGAACCACATGAGCCCGCAGGGACTCTGGGACCAGTCTGAGCACCCAGGGATAAAGTAGCCAAGAATAGCAACAGGATCAGAACAACTGAATGCTGTGGAGTCTTCAACATACAGCAGAAACAGGGAAGTAAGTTATATGCAATTATTACATTTTTTTCTTTTATTTCCTCATGTTATGCAGGAAGGTAAGTGATGAGTCTAGTGATGATCAGTTGCTGTTATTCACTTTCTGAAAAACAATAGATTGATTCTGCTCTATTGCCGACATTTGCCTCAATTGCAGTGACTGGTGTAATGATTAATTATTTATGTGTACTAAAACTGCTTAACAGCATAAACGATGTAAGATTTAGGATTCCTCCGATTTTTATGACAAACCAAAAGAGTGTATTGCATGATACTACTTGTGAAAAAATGTATGTATGTGTTATGTAACATTTTAGGTATTTATCTGCAGTTATGTTGTCAGTGGTCTCGATTGCTACCATTCAGATAAACAGAATTGTGTGCTTATATTATTACACACAAAAAATGACATGAGTAGTTAATAAGCTCTTGTGAAACCCAGCAGTAACTGCAGAACTGTCCCAGCCAACATTCACACAGTGCTGCCAGCCTTCTAAGCAAACATTCCTGTGGTACTATGACCAAACAGCCTACAATGCTTCTCACTAATCAGCCATTTGCAATGTGAAGATTAATGGGGACAATGAATAAAGCAAGGATACCATGGTGATGTCGGCACTGGCATTGGTAGACAGTAGCTTGCATAAATTTCACAAAATGTATGATGGAATTGACTTATCAACATTGGAAAAGGAAGTGCAACAATTGGCATTTAGTAAAGCATTTTGCACCAGGGATGGGTATACCGAAACTGATACTCCAGTCCTAATTGATACTACTCTCCATAATTTTGTGCAAAAGATAATATGAAGAGATATGAAAAGGTTAAAAAATAACTGTATCGCTACCTTTGATCTTTTCAGAAGCAACAAATAATAAAACAAAAAACAAACCTGAACAAGAAACGTGGGATCTCCCCACACATCGGGGAAACAGATGACTTGTATGTACAAACCGCTGGCTACGGAGTTGATTTATTCCCCAAACTTTCGCAGGTGATTTTTGGAAGCTACAAAGAGCAGACTCACCTGTGCACAAGTATACACGTTTTCAAACAAATCACATCTGTGTGTCATACAGTACTTCTCATTATGAATATACTGTATATAGTTATTATAATTGCTGTTAACAGTTTGTACATTTGCCTAAACACTTATATTACTTAATCTAAATTGTGTTTGTTTATATTTATCTATATTTTATCTTGCACTTCTTTCTGTCTTAGGTTCAGAATTAGATTTTTTCTGTGTCCTTTCTTTCATAGATTTTTAATGAGCATTGCTTGAGTCTGATTCCCCAAAATTCTTATCATCAAACAGCTGCTTCTCTATACTTGCATCACACATAATAAAAATAAAGAACGTCATGAACCCACTTTTGCTGATATTTGTTTTGGTGCTGTGATTATTAAATGACATGATTGATTTCCTCTGTCTTAGAAATGAAAGTATTCCATGCTGCTCATAATAGAAGACATGAAGCTGCGACAGATGATGCATATATTCTTACCTCTACTTTATGAATACATGAAAATGAAAAATGTTATTAAACTACTAGCAGTTAAATATATTTACTGAGGTTTTACCATTATTTACAACATGTAGTAAATAAACAATGGAATAATAAGAAATATCCAGGTAATTAAACAGCCTACAAAAAATAGGCCATAGAAAAAGTTGTGTATTGTTCACGGAGCAGGGAGTGGAAAAAAAGATTACAGAATTTATTTTAAATATCAAATGATAAAGTCATGATTAAATTACTGCCATATTCAACAATTAATTAACTAACTAATATAACAATATTGGTGGCTAAAGGTAAACAGCTTAATCTTATTCACCTGGCCAGGGTCATCTTTTATTTTATCGCCGGTGGTGATCTCAAATAAATGATTAAAGAAAAAATGAAAGTACAATTTCTGGATCCTCTTCAGCCGAGTTAGCTTTTTAGCTCATTTGCTAGCATGTTGCTGAACCAAAGCAGCGCCACGTCGTGGTCGACGTGGGCTGGGTCCTCCGAAGGAGAGAGTTCCCCTAGGGGGTTATTGAATCCAAGCGTTGAGATAAAAAGGCACAGCATTTAAAATGTTTAGAACGCTTTTATCATCACATAAACAGCACGCTCCTCCCCAGCTCCTGACCAATCAGGCACTGGTACCAGTTTAGTACCAGTTCTTGATAACTTCTCCATTTGTCACACACTTTACCATTATTGTCTTACTTTAATATTTACAGGGCCGTTTTGTGACTGAGATCAGAAGAGAACTGAGAAAACATTTTCTATTAACCTAAGGTGATCGATGTCACATTTGTCCTTTGTTATATTTCAACAAGTAATAAAGAAAGTTAAATACAATTTAAATTGATCTCAAATGCAGGAACAGAGCAAATTCATCCTCAGAGGATAAAGAAGTTCAGGAACAAAGACACAATCCTTCAAAACATCATCCCGCTGTCTCCTTGCCAAGCAGCCACTCAAGAAGCCTACCCCCCTGGACAAGATGGTAACAGTTTGCTGTGCTCTCTGCAACGTCTGCCCATCTGTGGTACCCACAGAATGGACAGATAGTAGTTGTAAGTCGCTTTTGATAAAAGCGTCAGCTAAATGAAATGTAATGCTTATTATTTATTCCCTCTATCTATTTTCAATCTTTTCTTCTATTATCTTTAAAATGTATACATTCCAATGTCCAGTGTTGAAGTAATAAACATAACTTTTTCCAAGTTTTTCTTCCTTGGGTTCCAACAATAAGAATTGACTTCAGGATACATGACATATAGTTTGACTTTTGAAACATGAGCTTTGTGTATCACTTGAGTTGAATCAAGCATCTTATTTTAGAGGGCTGAAATAAGCCTTTTCTGGGACGGGTTTAAGTTTCCATATTTATTTAATCTTTTGTTTACTGAACAGTTTTGCATTTTATTAGACCCTTGACTATTCTCTTTTGATTACAGCAGGTAGCCCCCTTGTTTGAACTCAGGATGCCTCTGATGATGGCACTTGTCTTGGCCGTGGTCTTCATGGGCCACTCCCCTAACATGGCAGCACCTACAGGTGTGACAGATGATGAAGCTTTTGACCTTGAAAACTACAGCCTGAACAGTGAGATGGACTGGGAGAACCTAGACGTCAACATCTACGGAGACAGTTATGATTATGATGACTTGGACCAAGAGGTGAGGAGCGGATGAAATATAATCAATATGTTATAAATCTATACAATGAGTAGTGAGAAGAACAAGTACTTTCAAATTCCAATGCTTTCGCCAAACAGTGTGCTCATTGTCCATCTGTCAAATGAGAAGAGAAAGGAGCTGATCAAAATGCTGAGAATGCAAGTTTCTGCTCCCCCTTTTCGCTTGGCCTTCGTCTTCGTCTTCGCCTTCGCCTTCTCCATTTCTAACTCGAACTTTTTTTTTTCTCGAAAAAAAAGGCAGTTTGGCTTCAACGGCCGGCTCACCTCCTGGGGGCGTGATTTAATGATGCACACCGAGCGGCCCACAGGGGGAGGTGATTAAAGATTTGATTGGGCCGGCCCAGTGTCAATTACATTTAAACAGAGGGCCAATCTACCCGTCTTATGGGCCGGGACTTCAGAAAATGACGTGTCGGCCCAAAAGACACGTCGGCCCACCGGGAAAATGCCCGGTATGCCAGATGGCCAGTCCAGCCCTGGTGCGGACTGTCACTCCTGTTGACACGGACAATGTCAGCAAAATAGTGCACTGCCCACCAGCCACGCCCCGACACATGGGGTGACGCCGGCCAATCACAAAGCTTTGATGCGTTCAAGTGCATTATTCTGGCACAGGAAGATTATGTTACAGGACATTAACGATAAAACAGAATATTGTTGTTCGATTTTTAGACACATCTCGCGATCGACTGGGAATCTCCCCGATCGCGATCGACTGGTTGGGCACCCCTGGGCTAGACCTGAAGCCACATCTCTCTCAACTTCCCCACGGCATTTGTCATATAGCGCAGGCAGCGCAGACCTGCTGAAATAATACAGAGACGGCATCGCGTAACGCTTGTCCAACGTGTTGACAAGTTGCTTAAAGCCCTGGTTGCTAACAGTGCTAACTGGGCACATATCTTTAGCGATGTGAAATGTAATGGCACCTGTAATATCTCTGAGGCCGTTGCTCTGTACAATGCGTCCTGAATCGATGACTGTGATGATGTGGTGGATGAAGTCGAGCGGGCATCTGCTTTTTGGTCAGCTTTTTGTTGTATTATTGCCCGGTCGTATTGCACTTTGTGGTTGTATTTCAGATGATTAAAGAGATTGGTTGTGTTAGCGTGCGGTTCCAACACAACCTGGTAACAAATCCTGCACTGTACTTTGTTTTCCTCCACGTCGGACTCCTGCAAGCCAAAGTACTTCCAAATAGTAGAAATAGTTTTACCCTTCTTTTTAACGAGTTGCTGGTCTTGTTCTGACATCTTCGCTCGCGCTGAACACTCACAACACATGTCACTCCCACGTGGCAGAGTGGGCTTTTAGGGAGGGGCGAAAGCGCACCCAGCAAAATAATCGTATTTTGTCAATTAAGCTGTTTTCATAATCGTTGCAAGCCATAATCGTAATCGCGATTAAAATCCGATTAATTGCACAGCCCTAATTTATAGGTACTTTTTGAGGTATTGGTCCTTTTTCTTTTACCATTAATATTCGGAAGGGGAGGCCAACTGTAGCTAGAAGGCTTTTCCTAAGAGGCGGCTCTTCGATTGGAAATGAAAGCAATGTTCCAGGCTATTGAAACGTTTTGCTTACAGAGATTCTCAAGGTTAATATGTTCTGTATGAAAATAAGAGTAGAAGATGGAACTGTTTATGTTCCTTTTTATTTTTACATGTAATTGTACTGCTTTTATAGCTCTTACATTTAACTTTACTGGACAAAAAAGTTTTTGTTGCTATTTAGATCCTGGAAAACATTTTCATTGAGTGGGTACTTGTATAGCAATTAGGGATTTTGAAGCAGTCCTTTTCAAAAAGAAGGTTATATTAAAGTTTTTTTTATACATTTCTGATTGGATTTGTGCTTCGGTTGAAGGCTTGGAAGACTTTAAACGGTTTTTATTTCTTTTTCTTCTTCATACTAAAGATTGAATTATTTTCTTGGAACAAAAACAGGATTCATGACAACAACAAAAACGTTGATTAAGATGCTCCGATCGCCAAATTTGGGGCCGATTGCCGGAATCAGTATCGGCCGATCCGATCAAGTGGGCGGGGCCTATGGGGATCTTCCATTTAAAGTGATGTTTAAAACTCAGTTAATG